AGAAAGAAAGAAAGAAAGAAAGAAAGAAAGAAAGAAAGAAAGAAAGAAAGAAAGAAAGAAGAAAGAAAGAAAGAAAGAAAGAAAGAAAGAAAGAAAGAAAGAAAGAAAGAAAGAAAGAAAGAAAGAAAGAAAGAAAGAGTATAGAAAACATGATATTGAGTGTGTTGACTAGAAAGTAAGGCAATGTTAGATCCAACATTGCTTTAAAGCCTTATAGCATTGATTATAGCTTTAATCAACTATATATATAAAAACAAGAATTACAAAATATGTTCATCTGATGGTATTTAATGTATTTTCCATTAAATCATAAACCTTAAAATCAGAAGCTTGCCTTAGAAATCAAGGCAACACATGAAATTATTTTGCGTAGTAGATTCTTGATTTGAGAAGAGGAACATCCATAATTCATGCTGACGCACAACACTGCATTATTTATTTATAGTTAAATTATTTGCTTTCTTCGCCTTACAGTGTTTGTGACTATGGATACAATTGTTAACTGATCCCAACCCCCCACATACATACACTTTTAAAAAAATTAGATTTCTATATATGTTTTTATTGCATGATTTCTTAACCCATCATGCAGCTGTAAAAGTACATTTATCATAATTCATGAAAGCAAACAACACCAAGAAACCTTACCTGTTCTTCCTACAACATGGAGAGGTCTTCATGGTAAACTCTTCGCCTTGTCTTTCTATAGATTTCATATATTTTATTTATTGAAATTATGTCAGAATTGAAGGCCCCCTCAATTGAAGGCAGTTGCCTGATTTACTCACTTCTAAAGCCACCATTATTAAAGTTTCCAGTTAAGAAAAGGGATTTTTCTTCAAATTTCCCTGTCCTATTTGCAGAGCAACATCAACATTACCAACACATTGTCGTCTACAATTTATTGATGTGGGTAAGCAATCATCCACTCATGTAATAATGTTCTGGCCCATGTTTGTAATTCATTAGTGCTTATGGATGCTACAGAAAACTTTGCAGTCCAGTTTCAAAATTCATTTTAGAATTTCTCCATGTTCATTTGGTAAAATGGAGTTAGCAAAGTTTAGGAGAATAATAAAACAGAACAAGGGAAGTCTACCCACACCTAGTTATTTGGAGATAAGAAAAAAACAGAAGAGGGAAGAGATCTCATTCACAGCAAAAAAAAATGGACAGTTAGAATTGAGCAATGATTTTCCTGACATGCTTTATCTCTTTTTCTCTTACAGAGAATGACAAGAGGATCAGTCTGCCTCAGGTGCCAATACAGTAAGTAAGATGGCCGACCTACCCCATGAAGTTGTACTTGTATGTAATACTGAGCACCAGAGGACAATAGGAGAACAAACCAGTTTTGCACTAGTGATAAAATTACCTCTATGCTCCCTGAGCTCTACTTTATTCAGAGAAGAAGCAGAACTGTTGCTATCTGGAAATATTATAGGTAGTAGAGTAGTGTGTGTTCCATATACACAGAAAAATGTTGACCAAGTTGATGGAGATAACACCTATCAATAATTATGAATCCTGATAACAAAATAGAATTGTATTATAGAAATTGCTGGGATATCAACAGTAGGTTCACTCATAAGCTTTCTAATGGGATTTGACAGCTGTTGTAGGAAAGACAATGCTGAATTATTATAGATTGTCAATTATCTGATCTGTCAGAACTTTTCATGCAATTTTATTTTCCCTAGCCATCATTGCTCCTTCTTCTCCTCCTTGACTCTTGGCAACTGCCTGGACTAGTCCATGCAATTTTTTTCAGCCAGGTGTTCAGAAGTGGATTGCCCTTGCCTTCTTTTTATGGCTAAGAAAGAGTGACTGACCCAAGGTCACCCAGCTAGCCTCATGCCTAAGACAGGACTAGAATTCATGGTCTTTGCCTAATGCCTTAACTATTATACCAAACTGGCTCTCCAGCCCTCTCTTAGGTGCCCAAACATTATCCTAAATGGAGAGGCCACAAACAAGGGAAGCCCTTCATCATTACTGGAAGAAGTGCTTTCATATTGATTGATTATATTTATGGAATCCTTAATGCTCACATTTCTTTTTACAAATCAAATCTCAGTAAAAGGAAATTAACAATCCCATTTCTGTTCCTGATTATCTTTCTGCCACAGGCATATAGAAGAAAAAAGATCCACACTGACAGAGAGCTTCAGCGGAGGTAAGTTAAACTTTACCTCACCACTGTCAGATCAATGGGGATTGACAACATCAGATATATGAACTGTGTTCTCTGGAGTTTTGATCTGTTTTAATCTCTTGTGTTGCCATTTTTAACAGAAGTCATATAATGATGGAGTTTACACTGAGAGTAAGGCTGAGGTATAATTATTTTTGTTGTCCTATCCACCATTTGTCAGAAATGGTGTAGGGCATTGTGCTTGGGCAAGGGGTTGGACTAGATGACCTACAGGGTACCTTCCAACTCTGTTAATCTGTAATCTGTAATTTCTAATCAAATAGATTTCTGAAACAAAAAATCATGCCATGCTTTTCTTTTTTTCTTTTTTTAACAAATTTTATTCAGTTTTTCACATTAAAAACAAAAATCTCTTTTTAGTGGACAACATATTTCCGGGTAATCATCTTTACATACAAATATGACAGCAATTATACATTCATATATGCATACTTAATTCTATTATTACCTTTTTCATTCCAAATTTTCAGTAAGGAGAGAAACAAACACATTAATTCTAGCCTCTTTCATTAATCTCAATTGAAACATCTTTTTGTTTCATTTCAATTATTTCAAATATAATCCTTTAATATTTATTTTAAAAAATAAAGATAAACAATATGTGTTTGCATAATAATAATAATAATAATAATAATAATAATAATAATAATAATAATAATAATAATAATAAAGTTACCAATGTCTCTCTTTGCTTTTAGTAGTCTATATTAACTTATTAATTTAGTTGGTTCTTTAGTCTGTCCCTTTCTATTACATATTCCCTTTCCATTACACATTCTTTTTATAAATTCTAGATTAATACAAATTTTAACACTAAAAAAAAACAAAAAACAAATATAGGTTTCCCCCCTTTTACTGTTTTGAGTGTGACACCTCAATGATTAAAATATACCTTTATTCCCTCATCTTGATTCCCAATAAACCATTATTTTTAAGAAATTACAATAATAATCATTACATCTTTTCATTTGGATTCCGCAGCATATTCCCCCCCCCTTTGATTTTTAATAAGAGTTATCAGTATCTATATTACCCTATTTTCTAAATATTTTTATTTGCAGAAATATTCTTATTACCCCTTGTCACCCTGCAGAATCCCCTTTTTAATTCATCAACCATTATCTCTGAAAAAACCATTTCTTTTCAACATTTTACTATTTCCGTATATCTTTATTTCATGCACCTGTTTCTTACTGCTTCTCCTCCCCCTCTTTTCCCCATATCTTTTCTCATTCCAGTTTATATACTTCTCTTTCTTAATATCTTCCTTTCCCCTTTTCTGCTGGGTCTTTCTGCCTTTCCTGACTTCACAGGTATTCCCCCTTTTGATTGCCTTCTTAAATTTCAACTTTTTAACCTTCCTTCTTTCCCCACTTCTTTGTAGTGTTTTTTGTGTTAATTGTCTATTTAAAATGTCTTCTCCTTGAATCGACTCCTCCTCCTCTGAAGCTCTTCCTTCTTGTTCTTCAATTGCCATTTCCACTTTTTCTAACACAGAGCAAAGTGATTCGCCTCTTTCCTGTAGTAATTCTCTCATATTTTTAAGTTCCATTTTTAATTCCCAAAGAGATATCATCATTACACACTCTTATATTTTATGATCGTTAAAGTCCACAAAAAAACCAAAACACTTTTACTTTCCTTCTTTCTTCTTTCAATTTTCTAAAGTTCTCAGTTATTCCAGCCGAGGGTCTATACCAAAAACATCAATCAATCCCACAGTCAGTCTTTCCTTGCTTTTTTCTTTATTCTGGTTCTGCTTTCACTTTCTAAGATTCTTACTTTGTTTCAATATTTCTTTAATGTTATATCCACACATGTTCATTCAGAAACAGGATGCTTTCCCTTTTGTTTGAGCTCAAGTTTTTGTCAAAAGGTGGCACTCTCCATTATACAAAGTCTTCACCTTTTCCCCCTATTTTTTTATTTAGGGTTTTTCGAACCTCAATATTCCAGCACAGTCCAGTCTCCAATTTGTAAACTTTATTATTATTATTTTTTGACAATCTTAAGTCCAGCTTTATTTTATGCCTATTTATTCCCAAAATATTTTAGTCCAATTTAGTTAAATCTTTAGTTCCAGCTTCTTCCTTTCCCGGTTCGAAGCTTAGCTGTCAAAAATATTTTCTTTTTTTTCCCTGTCCCTTTGTAATTTCGCCGCTCACTTTTCTTTTCTTAAAATTTCCATGTTACCTTAATCCCAGGGTACTTTTGTTTAGTTGTATTGCCCAGTTGTCCCGGTTCAGATGTTATCCACCTCTTTCTTCCCTCCTGCACAAATCTTAATCCAGCTGAGTCCTCCTCTTCAGGGTGGCCATTTTAAACCACCGCTGCAGTCGTCTTCGGGGGGAAAAAGACCAAGCCCAGGAGGGGAGATGCGGCTCCCCTCAACCTGGCTTGCGGCTTCCCCTTACTCCGCCGCCCCTCCAAGGCAGCTTCAGCCCCTAATCGTAATAATCGGGGCTCTCCAACTAAAGAGCACGGACCATAGCCGCAGAGAATCGCAATCTACGGTCCATCAGCGAGGAGGCTCCGCCTTCTTCCCATGCCATGCTTTTCTGACAAAAGTAAAAAAATGAAATGGAAAATTAAATGTTCTATCCACAAATAATGCCTAACATAATTACTCAATTGTCCTGAAAGGATGATGAAAATTTGAGAAATATCAGCTTCTTCCTCCAGCCAGGCTTAGTTCATCCAAGTCACCAACTTTTAATGCTGGTCATAAAAAGGTCATTTGGAAATTCCTTCCTTCCCTTACTTCTGTTTATTTTATTTTTCTGTGAAAGAAAAGCTAAGTTAAAGAACACGGTAAAATCTTCTGGAAGCATCCAATGTTCTATCTTTATGAACATGATGATGGGATATATTTTTAGGAAAGGTTATTTATACTAAAGTAACAGATAATGTTTTGTTTCAGATTCTGACATTTATGCTGAGATTCCAGATGAAGCATCCAGACCCAAATCTGGAGGTTTGTTCAGGCTTTGGTCCCCTTTTCTAAAATCATATGGGGTTAGGGCTTGCTTCTTCAACTGTACTTTTAGACTGGGTTAGTATATAGTTAGTATATAGGTGGCTTTAGGTGGCTGAATTATTATGCAGGAATGGTACCCAGAATAATGTGAAAGAAAGTTTTTGTTTTTTAACAAAATAGGCACTTCAAAGAAATAACATCATTACATGTTTTGAGCATTGAAACACACTAACCCCATTATCCCATGACTGGTTTCTAAAATATGCTTAATGGAGTCACAGGTAGGGCTAAGTCAGCCATGTTGTGTAATTCCAGAAAAGCACTTTGCCTCTGGCTACCATTAATGGAAACAAAAGCTTAGAAGAACCTTACAAAAATAAAGTATAACCATCACACATTGGTGCCAAAAGTCCTAACTACTTGTATAGACTAATTGAACCAGAGTTAACAGTAGGAGTGGGTTTCTACCGGTTCTGTCCACCTCTGTAGAACGGGTAGCTCTGAAGAGCAACAGACATAGAACCGGTTCTATGTCTGCTGATGTTTTTGTCTACCTGCCCACCCAGGCTCTTACCTGACCTTTATTTCCTGATTTTTTCAACTTCAGCTGCCGTGCGAGGCACAGCTGCAGTTTAAAAAGCAGGAAAAAGGGGCTTTTTGAAAGGCTGCTTCTCTGCACGGAGCATGCTGTTGACGATTGGCAGCATGCAGGGAAGCACATCGTAAATCACCGAACCTCGTAAATGACCGAACTGGTAGTTAACCCTGTCAGATCCCACCCCTGGTTAACAGTGATTGATGAGGTGAGAAATCTTGGAGTAATAAATGTGTGAACACTGTGCACCTGCGGTTAAAAAAAGAAAAGAAAAGGCCAGTGGAATATGGGGGATAAAAAGAAATTGTCCTGAAAATAGAGGTGTCAATAGTGTAATGCTTTTATATAAGTCAGTGGGGTGGATGCATGTTGGTTATGTTATGACCAGTTCTGATTACCATACCTCAAAAAGGATACAGTGGAGCTAGAGACAGTTCACAAAAGGGCAACTGAGATGATCATGAGATTAGAGCAGTTTCCCTATAAGGAACAGTTGAAACATTTGGAGGTTTTTAGTCTAGAAAGTAGGCAAATGTGAGTGGATTTATGTCAAATAAATGAAATTATGCATTTACAAGAAGAAACCATTTCCTCTTCTCAAAATGCTAGATGTTCTCAAAATGTTTCTCAGTGAAATTGAATCCTGGAAGAATCAGAATATGCAAAAGGAAATACATTTTATTACACAACATATAATTCAACTCTGAATGTGTTACTGCAAGATGCAGTGCTGACTACCAGCTTTGCTGATTTCAAAAGAAGATTGGACCAACTCATGGCGATCAATGGCTAGAATTCTTGATGGGAGTGTGACTGTCTCTGAAGGTCATCTGGTGGGAGATAATTGGTTGGCCATTATGAGAACAGACTGCTGGATTGGATGGACCAGATCCAATCCAACGAAGTCCTGTTTACATTCTTATGCTCACTAAACAGCCCCTTTCTATATCACAATTTCTTTTAAGTCCTCTGTTGACATACAAGGAGGTTTAGTGTGCCCAACCTTCACCTATGCCCACCCCCACCCTGGGTAGTGGCTGCAACTCTAATCAAGTCATGGCAGACTTTTCCTTATTATTAAGCTCTGGGGAGAAAGGGGGAACTGGTCCCTTGTCAAGGTAGATGCACCTCATTGAATGGGGACAACTCTGCAGACTTTTCATCATCTCTTAAATCACTCTGTATGCAGTTTTCTGCAGGTGGCAGCCATTTGAATTAAAGTGTGTCATGCAGATGCAGCCATTTGCTGTATTCACACAATGTACTTAAACAGCAGCTGCTTTTCCACAATATATTTAATATCAGGCTACAAAAACCACAAAAGACACATCATGATTCTCCCAAGCAGATTTCGTTATTGATCCTCACCTACAGATATAATCTTGCCAACGTAAAGCAGACTATCACTCGCATAAAGCATATACTATTAGAGAGAAGCCATCTTAACTTTTTTCTCTCTCCACAAACTATCTGAATGGAGTTGATTCTTGCTTCCCTGGAATGTACTTCCTTCTTCCTGGGAACCTGGACTACCTTCCATCACATCAACCTTCATTCATTTTAACTAGCCATAGCATTTTCATAGCTTAGCATACTGTGCACAGCCAGTTTGTTTCATTAGTTTACGGTTCAATGTATTCTGCAAACTAGGATAATTAGTTAATTCAGAAACCAGATTAAGGATATTGGATGAATGCAGCTATTAAGACTGAGACAGGGAAGGGAAGAAATAGTAGAAAATTGCAACAAAAATGCATATAGATTAAATTTTGAAGCTAAGCACAGTATTCAGATGATGATTTGAGGGCTACAAAGTTGGCAAAAGATTTATAGTGGTAAATTTGAATCCAATTCTGGGTGGAGGGGAAGTGGAAGCCTTTTCAAGTGATGAATTCTACATCTTTGTGGTAAATATTGTATCTTAATATGAGCTGGGGAGAAGGAGCCACACCATTAAAAATAACCATGAAAAATTGTAGCCAGTGTTACCATTCCCAAATTGCTGTTGAGGTCCTGAACTTGTTGAAGGCCACTCTTTATGGACAGATGAGACTTGATGTGTTTTCATTACTGCAATCTCTGCAGAATGTCACTGTCCTCCTGCCTGTAGTTATAGTTGAATCAAAACATGGCCAGCCTGCAAAATGGGAGACTTTCTTCCTTTCTAAATTATGGTATGGTATTGAGGAATTACATTGTGTTGTTGTTATTCACAACTGACAAGTGGATATGTCTCGCCATTCCATTCCTTGCACAGCCCAACAGTTTGTGATTTCTCGAGAAGATGTTTCCCTGGGCAGGATCCTGGGAGAAGGTTTCTTTGGAGAAGTCTATGAAGGTGTCTTCCTCAATGAGGTTAGTTTGGAGCAGTGGGACTTTATCGTAGTCTTTCCTAACCAGATAAGCATCATAGGTGCTAGGCTGCAATTTCATTATCGCCAGGGTCCAGCTGGCTTCATGACAATTCTAGTCCAACTTTTGTGAAGAGCAGTTTACCAGACTGCCTTTGGTCTATAGAATATAATGGAGAGGTGTAGTATGAATCAGAAATGGCACAAGGAGAAGTATGAGAGATCACCTGCCAAAGAACAATGTGCATTCAACTTCTTAATGAAAAAAAATAAATCAAGGGAAATGTGTCATCAATGTTCGTTGTTGATACATAGACATTTAGACAGACAGATATTTATATGCCTATTTTGTTATTTGAACATCAGAAAGACCTTAAGACTGAGAGAAACTTATTCATGGTGCCAAAGTACATGTGGTATCATGCACATGGTTTAGTTGTGGTATAGGACCATAAAAATTATTACAAATTTGAAGGTAGGTGGGGATATTCTTTCTGTTGGTTTCCTTTGGACATTGGTTTCTGGATCTTTGGTCTGACCCCAGAACTATTGCTACGGTTTTAAAAAGCCAACAGAGGCACTTGTTCTTATGGAAAAGATTGACATACATGATCTCCAGCTTTTTGTGTTTTGTCCAAAAGAGCTGAAATTAAGCAGACCAGCTTCTTCTATTACTCCTCCTCCTCCTTCTTCAACGTCTCCTTCTTCCCCTTCCCTTTCTTCTTGCCCTTCTTCTTCTTCCTCCTCCTCCTCCTCTTCTTCTTCCCCTTCCCTTTTTAAAATTGGGATCACCCTCTTCTTTCAGAGTGGAGAGCGGGTTAGTGTTGCTGTGAAAACCTGCAAGAAAGATTGCACTGCTGAGAACAAGGAGAAGTTCATGAGTGAAGCAAGTACGTAGACTCCCTCTTTCTGTGAACATGTGAATTAAAATGCCATTTCCTCCCACATCTGGTGCGGTGCCACAACAGCAGTGACTGAATGGTGCAATGGCAGTAGTTGTGGGAAGAGGCAGCTTCTCTGGATGTGATTTCTTCCCATTTTCTCAGGGTGAGCTTTTAGAGTTGCCATATTTAAACATTTTGCTCTCTTTCCCATGCGGTCTCCAAATTAAATGTCTGAGTGAGGAATGGATTTATCTTACCTTCAGTGCACTTGCCTGTTAAAGCGACAAACAGTGTGCACCAAACCTGCAATTCTACAGCTTGCAAAAAAAGCAGAGGAGGAGGCGGCAGCACAACAATTACAAGAGAAAACAAAGCAGTTATACAAAAGATTCCCAAGTCCAGAGGAGGGGGAAGATACAAGAAAGAGATTCAGAGTTATTCCTTAATTATGCTAGGTATAAGTTGTACTGGACAGCTACTTTGACAGGTTTTCAAGATTCTGTTACAACACCTAGTAATAAGGACCTTTCCAGAAATCCAGCAGTTCTTGTTTCCTGAACTTGCCAAGCTTTGCTGGGTTTGCTTCCTTTTGTAATTGTCATGTTCCATCCTCTGCTTTCCTAAGGTCCGTTCCATAGCACCAAATGAAGCACTGTAGAAGAGTTATATTTTCAAGTAAATGCTTAACTGGACAAGCGCCCTTGACTTTTAAATAAGTGAAAATAGGCTTTTCAAACTAAATAAGAGAATAATATTACCGGGCATCATAAAAATGCTATTAATTCGATTGATTTGATTATAGTAACTTCAACAAATAGAAGGAAAGGGAAGAAGCTTGGCAATGATTGTTAATGTGAAACGAGGGATTTTAAAATGATTTTTAATTGGATAGAAGGGAGGAGAGCAATAATCATGCTGTGGAGGCAAACTGATGCTAAAATATCTCTAAAAATAAGATATGTTCTCGGAGGATCTCTGAAATCAGGGCTGAAAATGAAAATTCGCCATGTATCAGGATTAACCCCAATGTACCTACAGTGCTCATGAAAAAGATGGACCATCCCCACATTGTGAAACTTATTGGCATCACGGAGGAGGAGCCAACATGGATTGTTATGGAACTCTATCCTTATGGAGAGGTGAGCTGATGGTACCTAAAGCAATGGGAAGTTGAATCTAAAAAATAAATAAATAAGGAAGCAAAGAAGCAAGAAAATGGAAGTAACCTCTTGAGTCTGAGCTTCCTTGGAAAGAAAGTTTTAGAAATAGATTCCTATCCAGATTCTTCATCTTCCCTTCGCAGCTGGGACACTACCTCGAGCAGAACAAGGCCAACCTGAAGGTGCAGACCCTTATCCTGTATACCTTGCAAATTTGCAAAGCCATGGCTTACCTGGAGGCTTTCAACTGTGTGCACAGGTACAAGGGCTTTTTATTTTAATGTAAAATAATAGATAGCATGTAAAGATATGTAGGGTTCGAATCCCTAGCACCGCGTAACAGAGTGAGCTCCCATTACTTATCCCAGCTTCTGCCAACCTAGCAGTTCAAAAGCATGTAAAAATGCAAGTAGAAAAATAGGGACCACTTTGGTGGGGAGGTAACAGCATTCCATGCGCCTTCAGTGTTTAGTCATGCCAGACACATAACCACAGAGACATCTTCAGACAGCGCTAGCTCTTTGGCTTTATAATGGAGATGAGCACCGCCCCCTAGAGCCGGAAATGAATAACACGTATGTGCGAGGGGAACCTTTACCTTTAAAGATATATACACACTCAGACAGAGTTTTCTCTGCACATATTCTTGCACCAACTCACTACATCCAGAGCTAAATGGAATCCGGCCTCCTCAATGATGTAACTTCTAGGCCAGAATGGGCAACTTTTTTCCACTGTCTTTCTGTGGTGCCTAAGGATTGGTGAGGAAGGAACTGCAATTCTGGAATTCTTGTTGGAGAAAGAAATTTAGTGGCAGAAGAGGTGGCATAAGCCATGCAGTCTTAAGATAACCATTTCAATTTTTTTAATTCCCCCACAAACTGGGAAAAAAATAGCGCAGTTACTTGGTTTCATCAGGTATTCCAAAGGATTTGGTGAATAACTTAAGTTCCTAGAAGGTTTAAGAAATCTGGTTTGCCACCTCTATTTTACTCCAGACTCTTAAAACACAAAAAAGGTCTCAAAAACTCCATCTTATTCATTCTATGAGGACTATGAGCACTACAAATAAGCTGTTGGAGTCTCATGTGGTTCACAAGCAATAGGTTGCCCATCATTACTCTTTGCAATCACCAAGAAGAGATTCTCAGCCCTTGTACAATGTACAAGGACATGGCAGTTGGCTTTTGGTGCTGAAAATGTCTGAGGAACATATGGAATGTCTGAGAATTGGTCTTTGGAGGAAGAGATATGCTCCTTAATTGTTCTCCATTGCAATTGAAATGCAATGCTATGTGCCAGATGGAGCAGAAGCATATTGCAAGAGGAGCCAGAATATCACACATTGCAGTCTATTCTGACCTTTTACAAAAGAGCTTCAAGTTTATCTCATGTGGCATCACCAGAAAGTGCTGAAAATTGAGGTTCTCAGGCAGCTCAAAGTCATTTTTAAAAGTCTAATAAATTAGCATTATAGCCAAATCAATGCTGAAAGATTGGATCCAATCCAATCTTTTCACAATGTTTGTTTTGTAAGATGCAGGGGTAAATTAGAGATAGTAATTGAAGAATGCCCAAGCAAATGCAAAAAGTTAATCTCAAAATTTATAAGGAGCGGTGAATCGGTAGGAGACTTACTTAGTCTTCTCCATTGGGAGAAGTGATAGGATCATGTTCAATAGTTGATAGGATACTTTTGAGGCATGTTTTTAGCTCAGTGTTGGACCTCATGGTCCCTATAGTAGTTCCCTCCAAACACCATTCTTCACATATGCACAGCAGTTGTGATGGCAGTCGGGGTGAAACAAGGGAAGAATCATTTGCTGTTAATTCCTCCTGCCTTTTCACTGGTCTCCTAATTATGAGATAACCATTGAGCACCGACATACTGAAATACCAAGCCTATCACTTTTATGGTTCTATGTTACACAGTGGTGCAAAAAATGAAACTATGACCAGATCACTGACTTAGAATCTCTTGAACTCATGTTTTTGCTCATATTTCCTGCTACACGTGTATTTTGTTCTGCAGCTGTTCAGATCTTCGAAGAAAAGAATAACTAGCTCACTTTATTACCTGCAGGGACATTGCAGTCCGTAATGTGCTGGTGGCTTTGCCGGAGTGTGTCAAACTAGGAGATTTTGGTCTTTCCAGATACATTGAGGATGACGAGTATTACAAAGGTATGGAAAGGAGCTGGGAAGAACCCAAACTTTGAGGGTAAACTTCATATATATATTGTATGTATGTATGTATGTATGTATGTATGTATGTATGTATGTATGTATGTATATATGTATATCTTTTATTGCATATGCTCCATTTGCTTCTTGGTAGAATATATAGAAGAATTCAAGTGTCTCTTTCTTCTACATCTCCATTGGCCAAGCTCTTAGATAGCTGAGATGGAAAAAAAAGTATGGAAGTATCTCTTATGCTGGTCTATGATCATCATAAAGATTTTATTAGGATCTTGAGGAGTTATTGCCAGTCAGAAGAGACAATGTTGCCCAGGACAACAGGCAATCCCAAAATCCTTTGGAGGCCCTCCAGAATTAGTCCAAATTTAATTTTTAATGAGATAAAGTAGAAAATTGTTAAATGCATAAGAAGTGATTATATTAGTATAAAAAAAATTACTCTACTATCCAGCGTTATCTCTTCATTGCTACTGGCCTGACACTGAAAGGATAAACATAACTCTTTTCTCCACAAACATTGTGGAGTTATCTATAAATATGTCATTGCTTTGACCCTGTAAGGCAGTTATACTCCAAACTACACCCAGGAAATTCCAATCTTTTGGGATTATTTGGAATGCTAATGAAAGGTTGTCTATGGAGGGTCTCATTCATCCAGGTGCTTTTGTTTTAAAAGCAATTGGAACTTCTGATTTTTGTTTAAGACAGTTTGCTTTTCATCCAAGAAGTTTCTTCAGTTTTAAGTAATTGATGGAGAATGGAAGAAATTTACCCTCTCTGCAATTAGCTACTCGTTAATACTCTGAGGGTTATTGAAACTACCTAAGAGCTCATTTGTATCCTTGGAGTCACCTTAATCAGAATGGAAATCAATGTGGGATTGTCCCAATGTCTTGGGACTACTGAAAGGGCTACATTGTAAACAGGAGATAAGTGGTGTTATACCCCTCCCTCTTTGTTGAAAGAAAGCTGTTCAATTTTAACATAAGTGGCCTGTTTGGTTCCTCTTTCAATCCTGTGTCTAGAATGTCCACAGGTGAACCTGTGAGAAATAGTGAGAACAATGAACCAGTGGGATGGCTTGCCTTCAGCAGTTGTGGGAAGTTTTCAAGAAGAGACTGGACAGCCACTTCCTTGAGCAGGGATTGGACCAGAAGGCCTCCAACTCTGTTATTCTGTTCTGAACCAACATATCAGGACAGAATTCAGCAGTCCATCTGCACCTGAAAGAAAAGGGCCACTCCTTTGAAGGAATGAAATTCCTTGCATGAGAAGTGAAATGTCTTTTAAAAAAATCAAAAAGTCCAGTTGCCTTTAAAATAAATGCACCTTTGGACTAATGAATGGTTATTTTCATGACCAGTAAGTAAGTGCTGTGGAGCATGGCCAGTCATAATTAGGCGGCGTTCCTTGCTTTGGCCATCCTGAGTGTTTTCACACAAATGGAAAAATCAGAGAATCAAACAACGTAAGGATCGGATGGAATCTTGAAAATGATCTAGTGCAGTCTCTGTTCAGGTTGGCCACTATAGCGTCCTCAGCAGGTTTTTATACATCTTCTGTTTAAACACCTCCATTGAAGGAAAGTTCATCATCTAAATCTGTTTGTTCCATTGTTATGGTTAGGAAATTCATCCATTCAATCATTTCTCACAAGTTTAGCTTCCAGACCTTTTGTTAGTCAGGTTGCTCTCCTCTGGACATGCTCCAGTTGGTCCAGTCCTTCCTAAAACGTGGTGCCCAGAACTGCATGCAATATATTGGGTACAATTAGATCCATGCAGAACAGAAAAAGGTAGTGAGTTCTTTTAAACATGATTTGTCTCTTAGTGCAATCTACACCTCTTTCTTTTATTATCCTTTTATTTATGTATTTATTTACAAGATTTATTTCTATATTTATTTACAAATAAATAATTATGTTTATTTACCTCTCAATTAATGACTCTTAAGGGGCTCAGAAAAACTCAGAAAACCATAGATAAAAACAGAAACATCCTTTCCCTCAGGCACCAGAACAAACAGCCTCTCCTTTTAACCTAATTCATGGGAGAAAAGCCAGGTCTTGTTGGTTCTCCAAAAAATTAAAGGGTCCTTCGCATCCTAATTGGGAAGCTATTCCATATTGATGACACCAAACCCCATGTTGCTGGATGATGCTCTCAGTGGCTTCATATAGATGTTAAATAGAAGAGGAGAGAGACCCAACCCAGAGGCACCCCACACAACAGGGACCTAGGGATGGGTGTCTCCTTCCTCAACAGCATTGACTGGAGTGATCATGGAGAAAAGAGGAGAGCCATCATAAAACAGGGTCACCCGGGTATTCCCAATTCCCTGGCCAGTCCAGCAAGATACCATGGCTGATGGTATCAAAAGCCACAGAAAGGGCTGAATGGATACCCCATCCCCTTCCCAAGCTCTCCAAAAGTCATTTAACGATGTTGTTTCAATAATATGGCCCAGCCTGAATCCTTACTGAAAAGGAACCACGTAAATTTTCTTTCTTTACTACCTGAAATGTCTAATTTGTTGTTTGTATTCTTGAAAAATCTAAGTTCTTTTTGTACTGTACTTTTTATATATTTTTTCTGCAATACACCTTATTGGTGATTATGTCCATGTTCCATTTCATATATCTATCCCTTTCCTTCTTATGCAACTGAAAGTATCTGCGACAATTTCCTAAGCTGATATCTCCAATTTCTTTTCTTATGGGCATCATCGACAATTACATTTTCAGTATCTTATTTTTGAAATCTTCCTAACTCCCTCAAAAAGGAGTCTCCAAACAGCCCTGACCCATTTCTTCCTCCTTTAGAGGTCAGACAGAAATAAGTTGTCCTTTTGCAAGTGGTCCTTATAACCAATACAAAAAAAATTATCCATCCTTCTTATTAAGCTGGAAAGTGGCCATTTCTTTTCTTCCATCCATTTCATCTTTTCCGAGAGAGCAATGAGCTTGCACTCGTAGTATATAAAGTACCTGTTGTCTCCAGGATGGAAAACAAATTTGGCACATTCCTTGTAAATCACTGAGCAATTTTCCTCCTCTTCTGTGTTCCTATGTTGACCAAAGCATCAAACAAAATAAGTCTCCCACTTCATCTTCTCTGTCAAACTCTTGTCGCTGCCCCTATTCTTTCAGTCATTGGATTCTTGGGAGCTAGTTTCTTTATGTATTCCCAGAAGCTACCTGAGCTAGATCAACAGCAAGCAATGGGCCATTCAAGCAGCAGCATTGTTCATGAAACAACAGCAGTCTGGAAAAAGGCAATAAGGCAGAGTCTGTTTCCCTCCCATTTTTCCTCTTCTTCCTCCTCCTTTCTTTTGTTTCTTCTCTCTGCTCAATTAAATTCTGGTGTCAAAGTGTTAGATGCCACCAAGATAGAGAGAAAACTATCTATATGTATCTGAGCCAAATTACATGCGAGTGGGAGAAGTTGGATAGCCCAACAATGACTATTGAATAGTGAAAGCCCACTCTGACACAGAAACTGGGAATAACAAGTGTTTGGAGCTGAAGAATCCTTGCATCTGGTCTTTTTCTGTCAATGCATCTTCTCCTCCTCACAATTCACTGGCAGTACACAGAAAGAGAAGCAGTAAAAAGCTTGGGCATAATGGCTCTTGTATAAGTGCATTGGAATATAACTTTCATGAAATATGTTTTAGGTTTAGCCCTCAACATTTCCACATAAACATATGGGAGAAAGCAGGATTGGAAATAATCCCCAAAGACACGTCCATAACCTGTTGATTAGATAAATGACAGCATCTGATTTGGAAGATGGAAGTTTTATATATTTATAAATTTGGATGTGAAAGTCACATCATTCACATTTCATTTGGCCCCTCCTTTGGCATCCTTTCTTTAATGATTCTATTCCACTATTTCTTCAACTGTAGTGTAATTCTTGCCCCATGGCAAATTGTCCCATGATGAGTTGGCCATGGCGAATTGTTCTGTAGTGAGTTATCCTGTGGCAAGTTGGCCATGGTGAGTTGGCCACAGCGGGATATCATAGAACCCTATCCACAGCTCAGAGCAATTTCTGTAATGCAGCCAATTTGGATGTATTCCAAATTCATTTAAACTTGTGTTGTAAGGCTTGGAAAATGAATGGCTTGCCTGCCTGAAAATTCTTTGTGATTCACAAAACTGAGAAAATATATCTAGCGATAAAGTTAATACATTTCACTCTAATTTCTTCTTCAGCATCAGTGACTCGCCTACCCATCAAGTGGATGGCTCCAGAGTCAATCAACTTTCGCCGTTTCACTTCTGCCAGTGATGTCTGGATGTTTGGTGAGTAGAAGTTTGGACAGGAACAGCCATGTCTACCTCCTTCAGATGAAGAACCTATCTGTACCTGCATGCTAACAAGAAATTATTTAATATGCCACTTCTTCAAGCTCTGTCACCTTTCCCAAACTTCTTTAAAAACAAGTGACATTGTTTAAACATCCAAGTCCACTCTCTAAATTGGTGGTTGAAAAATGGACTCTATCAGCAGACACTGCCAGTTTACCCCAAGCAACAAGCAATATATACAATCCAGTTTCTAAAACATCTCCTTTTGTCTCCAGCTGTTTGCATGTGGGAGATCCTTAGCTATGGCAAACAGCCTTTCTTCTGGTTGGAGAACAAAGATGTCATTGGCGTACTGGAGAAAGGAGACCGTCTCCCCAAGCCAGATGCCTGTCCACCTATCCTTTATGCTCTGATGACACGCTGTTGGGATTATGACCCCAATGACAGGCCCAAATTCAAAGAGTTGGTCTGTAGTTTAAGGTAAGTGATACTTCCAGCCTTGTCTTCCAAAAAATTGCATGAAAAAAGTAATGTTCTGCAACCTGAATCTATATATATATAAAAGCAAAATACCACTCACGCATCATCACAAAATCTCCAGAACCGTAAAGCCTACAAACTTGAAATTTGGCACATGTGTTCCTTTTGGCTTCTAGGTGCTTACTAAGAAAGGATTTTTCGAAATGATCATAAGAGCATTAGTATTTCGTATATATTATTATTAACACGCTCTGATGCTAAGGAGTTCTACTCCCCCTCCCCACCTGAACAGAAATCTGTTCAAAAGCAAAACACAAGCAGAGGAGTTTCAGTTTCACAGCAGCAACCACCTTTAGTACAGAACAGTAAAGCTAAGCCACACCAAGCTCCTTGCTGTCTCCTTCTTGCTCACACAGCAAATACTGTTTCAGTTTCCAAATAGCCCTCAACTCTCTCACACACTGACAAGACGCTACCCAGATGAATATCGATGGATGCTGATAGGCAGAGGCACAATTTTCCCCCCTTATTTTCCTCCCCCAAAACTAAGCCCGATCACATAATTTCGTAGAGAAACATGGATATCGAGCTAGTGTGTTATATAAGCAAATCTTCAGAATTTTTCTTATTGGGCAAAATGTATTCTGGTTTTACTTGTCAATAAGTTTCATATGCAAAGCCATTCACACAGTAACAAAAACTCCAATCAGCCAGTACTCCAAATAGTCGTGAAATTTCAATTCATTGAACCTTAAATGCTGCAGGGACATGAAGCAGGAGCACAATTATATTGGATTCAGTATCCCATCAGTCCCAGCTAGCATGGTTGATAGACACACAGAGAGAAAGGTGCTCTAAGCCCTTTGCATAAATGAGATGGTACAAACTTGTAAAATATTTACAAACCGCAGAGAGAAAGAAAGAAAAAAGCTCTACAGAGCACTATTATAGGCAGCAGATGGAGCTCATGGATAAGCTAAATGGTGCGTTTCCCTTTCCCTTCCATTTCAGTGACATTTACCAGATGGAGAAGGAGATAGCACGGGAACAAGAGAAGAATAATCGCCGCCGCCCCCCCAAAATTATGGAGCCTCCCTCTTTCCAAGAGCCTCCTCCAAAGGTGATAAATTTTTGCTGGAAATGTTCAGCAGATATGGATACTTTTTTTTAGCTTGGATGTGAAAAAAATGTGACCTTTTAGCACCCACCATTGGTTTTGGGAAGACTCCAAGGGTGGGATTCTACAGGTTCGCACCTATTCGCTAGAACTGGTTGTTAACATTCTAAGCTGTTCAGAGAACCGTTGTTAGAAGAAATTACTGGCCTAATCCTGTAAGGAAGGCAGGAAGGAAACATTCTGGTGTTTCTTACAGAAACTGCCTCTCCGTTAAGCCTTATTACATTCTTGGCAGGACTAGAGTTCCTGTCTCTGGAACTTCTCTGGAGTTGTTCCCCCCTTCTTTGCTGGTACTTTGCTTGTATGGAGTGACCATTCAAAGTTACAATGGCACTGAAAAAAGTAACTTATGACCCTTTTTCACACTTACAACTGTTGCAGCATCCCCACAGTCACGAGAGACCAGGCGAGGAGATGCGTGCCTTGATGTGAGTGATGTTGAGTTGGCCACACCCAGCCAGTCACATTACCACCAAGCCATGCCCACCAATTAAGCCACGCCCACAGAACCGGTTGTTAAAAAATTTGAATCCCACCCCTGGAAGACTCGTGCAGGTTTTGCCATCAAAACAGGCATTTCCATCTTAAGTTCCTCACTTTAACATTATAAGCATCATTTTTGTGCTTCCTTGGGATTCACCCTTTTTAAAAAGAAAAGGTAATCTATATTTCACTCCTGAGCTGATCTTCAGGTTGTTGATTATCAGCCACAATCAGTTCAATGCAAAATGAATAAAAATCCATTCTGCTTAAAATGCCAATTCAATATTCACATTTGCAGAGAATATACCCCCAATTACATCGGTTACTAATCCACCACCAACTCTTGAGTTATGAATAATTTTACTTTCAGCTTCTGATCATCATGATCTGTCCCCCCAGGCAATATTTTTTAAATGTGTTCACTGTTGCTATATACTGCAGAATAATTGGAAAGGCAAAATAAAACTCATGACCGATAATAAAGTAAGTTATATTTTCTGTGTCATCCAGTAAAAATTGTGAACATTTCATAATTACTGACATTTGATTAGAAGGTGGAAGACAATAAAAGTGCTCTAATTTAGACATATGTGTGGTGGGTGGGAGGCTGTTTGGATAAAAGCTCCTGATTCTGACAGTCAGTAAGTCATTGCCCACATGTTATTATTCTCTCAAATATTTTCATGGTAATAAAGCAAGAGGAAAGAAACATTTGGACATTACAAAAGTTTAGGAATGAAAGCCAATAGTTCTGGATTCAATACATTATAAACCACATAAACTTCATTGGAAGGTATATTTGAGCTGCATTATGATGAAAAACATTTCTCAATGTCAATAGAAGACAGACAGTTAAAATTTCTGCAGGAATAAAACCCTAAACTCTGTTTCTTTTATTTCCTCTCCTTTTTTCTTTGACTGTCTGGGGTGGCCATTGTAATGAAATTATGTGATTATTCAATTAAATTATGTAACTAACACCTTAATTCTTAATTCAACATGCCTGTTTTAAAAAGACTTTTAATCCTTCAGGTACGTTTTATTCCTGGCAACTGCATGGACTATTCCCTGTAGTTTTCTCAGCAAGATTTTGGAAGTGGTTTTCCATTGCCATCTTCCTAGGGCTAGGAGAATGTGACAGGCCAAGGTCACCCAGCTGGCTTTGTGTCTAAGGCAGACTAGAACTCACAAGCTTCTGGTTTCTAGCTTGATGCCTTAAGCACTACACAAACTGGCTTTCATTAAGAGCTTAGAACATAATTAATATTATTATTGGGAGTGGCCATTTTTGTTTCATGGATTTAATGGAGATATTGCATTAAGTGTTACCCTCCAGAAATTGTGGGTGTTCCATCATTGGATATTTCTTAGAAGCATCTTCTAGACAGTCACTTACCTGAAACGGTATAGGTTCTCCTGCTTGAGCAGGGGCTGGACTAGAAGACCTCCAAGGTCCCTTCCAGCTCATTCTATTCTATATATTTCTGCAGTGTGCATGGAACGTATGTTTGTGCATATTTACAAATATTTATAGATTTGCTATTTAAAAAGTTAAGACATTGAAAGAAGTAAATATAGCAATTATTTCCAGATATGTGAGTTTATCCTCCTCCATTAGCAGCCTTGCTATGTAGTTGTTTTTCTTATTCCTCTCAGCCCAGCAGACCAAAGTACAAGCCACCTCCTCAGACCAATTTACTGGCCCCCAAACTGCAGTTCCAGGTAAGATCCAAGAGGTTTCTGAATGCTAGTTTCAGTTCTTTCAGAACTAAAGCATCTCTTTTGCAGTTGGCTTTTTCTTGGCTTCATTTCTTCTGAGTTGTTGATAAGCACTACTTTCCTTCCTTCACTCCCATCCCCTGTTGGATATGCAGTAGCTGCTTGATGCTTCCCTCCAGAGGTGATTCTAGATGGATGGCATCCCCTACAACTTCTGATTAAGAAACACCTTCATTTATTCTGTCCCTTTTGCTTAAAGGTTTTGCTGAAGTGCAACTAGAGGAGGGAAAGCATATAAGAGAGAGAATTATGTGTAGGTCCTCTGTAACTTTGACAATGGGACAGGCAAGGTTTAAGATTAGGCCCCTTTTTATATGTGTGATGCATGCTTATCAAAAGGGGTAGGGCTTTAATCACATGATCATAGCCACCATCTTAACTTTTTTCACGTTCCAGCATGAGAGCATCATTTCAAAATAAAAGCATGGTCTTGTAACTCCCTGCATTTCTAAACCAAGTAATCAATATGACCCTTCAGTCCTTGCGTATAAACTTTCAAAATCTTCACCTGCAATTACATCTCAGTTTTAATTTAATTTAAAAGTTCACCACATTGACTAATCTCACCACTTTATTGTATTGCATTTGGCTTGTTTACCTGACATTTACTTTTGAAAGAAGTGCTTGCATTTCTGCAAATATATCACTTTGCTCAAGGTGCACTTGTAAAAATCTAATCAGAATGTTGTATTGTTGTTATTATTTTTGTCCTGCATTGCAACTTATGAGATTGTTATGCAATTTTAAAGATAATTTATTCCATTCATATCCCCATTTCCATAATGACTGAGCATGCTCGGTCTTCATTAGCTTCCCCCCACCCTGCCGTTTATTTATTTGTGTGTTTATATTCAAAAGCACGCAAATGCAAGTAGATAAATAGGTACCACTTCTGTGATAAGGTAACAGTGGAAGTCAGACATGACCGCTAGAGTCAGACATGACTGGACAGGGGAAACTTATATAATTTGGTCTATTAATTTTGCCCATAGGGTTTTGGGGGGTTGTTTTGTTTTGTTTTTGTGAAGAGATTTCAAACGTGGACATCCTTCAACCTGCTGATATTCTTTGCTGATCTTTTGATGTTTTATTTTCACTATAGAAGAATGGCACATATTTTTCAAGACAATTGACAAAATGAACTACCCTGTATTTGGGGATCTCAATTTTAAACATTTAAAATGTCAATATGTGTGAAAATTTAAAATTGAGAGGATTTCTCAATTTTCACAATTGAGAGGAACTGATGGCAAATTAAAAATCCAGATGACTTCCCTTTTCTGCAATAAAATAAAGGCACCAGACCTGATCAGGATAATTTCTGCTACTTCTAAATGTGGATTCTAAAATCTGCTCTGAAAATCTTGTCTGGAAAAAATATCTAGTATTGCTCGCTAAAATATGGAACAATGTCTTATATAAGTGTTTCTGGAGTACTTTCTCTGCTCAGTTTGTGTGCCTACTGCTTATGCTGTGTCTATTGTTTTGTGCCTGCTGCCTTTTCCTTCCACCTTTCCAGGTGCCCGAGGGTCTGTGTGCCAGCTCACCAACGCTCACCAGTCCCATCGAGTACCCATCACCTGTCAACTCTCTGCATACCCCACCTCTCAACAGACACAATGTCTTCAAGCGCCACAGCATGAGGGTAAGACAATGCCGGCCAGCTGGCCTGAGACTAAGCCTGAAAACAAATGCTAGATGGCGCCTTCAAGACTACAAAGAGGGTGGGAGGGAGACATTGGTGTAAGTGAGTGAGTGAGTGAGTGGAAAGTCTTGACTGACCTTGGTAGGTTGTTGTGGGACTACAAGAGTTGCAATCTCCCATACGCTATGTTTTATATTTCCTTCAATACATTTTCAAGAGAGTTCGCTTCAAGTTAGTAATTTTCAGCCTGATAAAATTGATGAGCAATGTCAGCACAGTAATGAAAAGTAACTGGAATAAAAGAAAAGATGGGGGGGGTTATTGATGAAATGAGAAGATATCTCCCAGTTATTCTATTTATTAGATTTATATCCTGTCTTTCACTCAGAAGCTGAAAGTGATATAGGTAGCAGCCTCCCTTCTATTTTTCCTCACAGCAACAATATTGTGAAGTAGGTAGGACTGAGAGTAACTAATTGAATTTCTGTGGCTGAAGATGGACCCATTCTGGGAGATTGGTCTCACCATTCTGACCAACACCTTAATTACCATCCAGAAGTGCTTGGATCTTGGCTCAGTGGGAGAAGGCAAGGTGTCACTTTAGAATCTCAGGCATACCTGATTCATTTATATTTAGATTTATATATTAGATTTCTGAAGACTACCCAACTTCAAAAAGACTTTCCTTAGCCCTCTTAGTCTTGAAGCTCCCCTTCTAACTGATCTACTTTACAGCGTTATTGTAAGCTAAGATCATCATACACTGCTAATGACGTGGGTTCTCTCGTTTTTTGAAGATAGGTCACATTACTTGAATTCAAGTTTTACTTCACATCACCACCAATGCTCTCAAAAATTAAAAATCAAGGCCAAATCAAATGAAATGTTTTATGGCTTAATTGGCGCACTTACAACTCCAATGGGAGCATTTCTTTCTATGAGGACATTTCAATTGAGACTGTTCTTCCTCCCAAAGCTGCCCAAAACAATTAATAAAATTTATAAGAATAACGTTCTTCAACAACAGCAATAAAACAATAATGATAAATAAATCATCAAAAAATGGACCCCATCTTCTATGAGTCCAATCTGACTTGATACTTCCTGTAGGGGAAACTATTAAAACGGCCTCCTATTGACCAGGAGGTTAATCTGACTGGAGGAGGATATTTGCTGATTATTTTATTTTTGGAACAAATCATGTGAAGGCTACTTACATGAAAGATTTTGCCTTCAAAAGCAGTGCCTAAGGAAGCAAATTAATGTGTTGCTTGGGTTCCTGATTGACTATTAGCTTTGCTCCCCTGTCCATCAGGTTCCACCATAGAGTGATTCAGAACTTTTACTCATGACTAAAATAAAATATTGTCCACCAGCCCTTAAGCCTGCAGAAAGCTTCAGTAGCATGAAAATTCCTTCTCCCATTAGTGGTCCCTAGCCTACCACAGTCACAATTGTGGTACATGATGTTGCTGTTACTTACAGTATACAGAGCATGTTGACAAGAGAAACTGAGGCATTCACCTGGCTTCCTTTTCCACACACATCACTAGTGAAGATGAAAAACATGTCCTGATCATTCATCTCAATATGGTGGGAGGCAACGAGTTTTGTCACATGATTAGATGAATGAATTTAAACATCTGTTCCTCTCCCCAAGTTCACCATGCAACCATTCTACCACTAACACTAATCAGCTACATAAAAAGGAAAACCATTAATGCCAGGAAAGCTAAGGGGAGCTTTAAGCTGTCTTTATGGATTAAAGGTGAAATCAAGCCAACATCATGAGGAATGACCCTAAATATTGTTCAATTTCAGACCCTGGTTTGCTGGTTTTCTCTGGAATCTAATCTCTTAAAACACTGTATTTTTCACATTTAATCCCCGAGGGTCAAGTTCTGAAGCTCTAAGACCTGACAACCTGTCCTTCCATTGAATTATTTTAACATGCACAACTCTACACCAACATTTTACCACAGATGTAGATGGACATAGACATTCTTGAATTTAAAAAATAATAATTGATCCTGAGATTGTGTTATGAACTGAATTTTGTGACTAAGGTGACAAAAACACAGCTTGAGTTTTCATATGCTCAACTTGAGTAGAATGAATCTCCATTTGCTGTTGGTGGGTTGTCAATTATCAAATTCCCAGATGTCATATGAAAGTTATCAGATGCATTGAGTGCCAGTATAGTGTAGAGGTTAAGTATTGGGTTTGGGCAGGGCAACACAAGTTTAAGTCCTACTTCACTAGAGATTTCTCTGATGAATTCTTCTCAGCCCAGTGTATTTCATAGGGTCATTGTTTGGCAGATCCTCTCCTATGTAAGCCCTCTTGAAAAAATGGCAAAATATATTCATACAGTCAATACATAAATAAGGTGCATGTAAGCTTTCCTCTAGCATTCAAACATTCAAGCACAGATATATGTGGGAGCCTGAGAACAGACTGTGTCATTATCATGCTTTCCTCACCAAGACATTCCTGTAGTTAAATAAAAAACTGCAAAACCCCCGCCTTTCTCTTAAACAGAGAACCCTATGAAGTGCTGTGAAATAGCTTTCCTGTTTCCTTTGTCACATTGACAAAAGTTTCAGTGTTTCTCCAAGTTCCTAATATATATTGCTAGGCAACAAGCAGCCTGGCTCACTGCATAAAGGATGACTAGATATGAGTTCAGGAGACTAGTTGGTTCCATTTTCATGCATATTGCTGGGTGATACCATTCATTCACCCAAGGTCTGGCTGAGGTTCTCTAGCAACAAATTGCCAGAATATTTAAAAAGAACTCTAATAACAACGGTGGGTGAGATGGACCAGAACCAGCCTTTGTGGGGTTGAAATATACAGTCGGAAGCAGGCCTACATCTTTACAGGCAGCAAATCAACAGATGTATGTGAGAAGCTATGCTGTGGAAGGAGCACATTATCTTGCTTTGTTTTATAGCTATTGTTGTCTTTTGTGCTACTCTTTTTACTGCTTATGCAAATGTTCTTGCCTAATTTGCTTACATGTCTTTTTTATCAATTAGTCCTGCCTAGCCTGCTTTCATTACCGTCCTATCTATTGAGGAAGGTTCTAGAATGTTCTATTACCTTAGAGCAGGGGTGTCAAACTCGTGTCATCATGGCATCATCACATGACCTATCATGACTTTTTTCCCCTTCGCTAAACCAGGCATCGGTGTGGCCAATGCATGGCGCATCCAGCCCATGACCCACAACTTTGACAGTCCAGCCTTAGATGGTTGATGGGAGGAATGGCTGTGCTTGAAATTTCTATTTCTTTGCCTGTAATGTTGACCCATATAATAATAAATCTTACTTAGCCAAGATTTTCCTTTGTTCAGGAAAGAAACAATAATAAAAACACATTAAACCAAAAAGAGTCCTGATGAGTGAATTCATGCTAATCAAGTACAACCTTTCCCCTTTTCCATCTCTACTCCTTCACTTACTTCTGAGCCGAAGCCATTCTGTGGCTCTTGGAGACTTTCCTAGAAAAAGTTTAAGGAATCCAAGAACCTTCAGCCCAGGTTTCCTTTAAGAAGTAAAGAACAAATGGGCTGTGTCCATAACAAGAAACGTGATACGAACAAACATAATTCGAGGAATTGTCCTCAGTGCATTTCAGATTTCTTTGTTGACCGAAATGGTTCACCAATTAAATAGATCCAGAGCTGCACGTTGGAACATTCTTCCTCTGCAAATGGAATGACAGACGCTTTTAATCTGCTTTACTGTTAGCAATTTCCGCTGACAAACATATTTAAAGTACATTGGAATTATTTATTGAAGTACTGTTGAAGCCAATTGGCTCTGCTATTTATTTTGCCAAAGGAAAGAGCTACAGAATGCTCATAAAAGGTTGTATTCAATTTTTGTTTTGGTATGGTTCCAGAATTTCTTTGGATTTTAGACTAATTAAACTTTCAATGTATCCTTTAAATACCCCCAACCCTTTTTTTGTTAAATTCCGAAAGTCATATCAATCTTAGCCATGTTATGGTCTCTGTAAAAGCTACTCAGCAAATTCTTCCTCCCTCTTCACATCAACATCAACAATGGCTATTTAGAACTGTAGGTTGTCCTTCATTCCTCTAAGGGCCCAAACCTCTGAAGTGAGATACCCTTAGGCTTCTCTCTGTCTCTCTCTGGGCTGCAAAAATGTTGATGACCACTAGATAGCAGCAAAGGGATAGAGAAAGATCTGTATCTCTGCTACCGTGTAGTGGTCATCAACATTTTTGCAGCACAAATACGGTAATCTGAATGATCTTTCTATCTCAGGTGACCGCTCCCTGAAATTCATATCAACATCATATCTCATCATCTTAACTTCTGGCTCACTTGTGTCCCAATCCCTGAGGTAATTTGTAACCAAGTAGAGATTTGGAATTGCTGTCTCAGGATAAAAGCCTCTCACTTTCCATTCTTTTCCTTCTTTTCTAAGGAGGAGGATTTCCTTAGGCCCAGTAGCCGGGAAGAAGCCCAGAAACTGTGGGAGATGGAACGGGCTAAAATGCGTCAGCTCCTCGATAAACAGCAGAAGCAGATGGTGGAGGACTATCAGTGGCTTCGGCAGGAGGAAAAAGCTTTGGTCAGTGAGTGAAGGAAGCAGAAGAGAACCATTGAGATAATAAGATTTGTTACCTTTCAGCTTATTAATCTTATTAAATTCCAGGAAGGTTGTTTCACGTAACACGGTCCTTTTGTTGCTTCTGGTAGAAACCAAAGGGGATTGGGTGGGAGAGTTTATGCAATACTGAAAAACCAGCCCAAGGGCCCATATGGAGAAGCTCCATATAGCTAGTATGGAATTACTTAAGAGCATTTTCTTCCTTTTTGTAGATCAGCTTGCTAGGGGTTCCAAATAGCCAGGGTCGGTTTATTTAAACTGAGATTTAACATTTGTTTAAATGAGTTCTCTTGGTTGAAAGCTGGGCTTTGCCATTTTAAGTGCTCCAGGTTTCACCATGGATGGCGTGTTATTTCTTCATTCAGTGCATCACTCAAAATACTTGGTTTTTATTATTATTATTATTATTATTATTATTATTATTATTATTATTATTATTATTATTGATTTTGCCCCTCTTTCTATCACAGGACCCCATGGCTTCTGTGAAGAGCAATTCTAACCCCCCAGTAAGTTTACTCAATGAGTCACCTTCCCTGGCATCACTGTCCAACCTCTGCTCTCTAAACTCTTTCATCGCCTTTATCTCTTCTGCTGACAATTTCAAAACCAGATAAAGTCTGAAAAACAATCATAGAAATTAGCCAGTGACTGAATCAAGTTATCATGGGTAGAAAACGCAACAGAATATCCAAACGAATTCTTTTCACACAAAACAGCCACAGGATATTTATTATTTTGATTCAGCAGCAGGGTTTCCTTCTCAGCATTTCCCTGATTTAGAAGTGTGTTTCCCCAAATTATGAGCACCTAAATAAAAATAATTATATTGCACTTTTTCACAGGTCTTACTTTTTCAACTATTGGACAGTAGGTTGGTGAGAAGGTTGCAGGTCTGGAAGTATATAAATAGTTAATATAAGGAAGCAGGTCTGGACAACTTTATCAATAAACCATTAATATATTAAGTAATATTAGACATGCTTTTATGCAGAATTGTGGTTCTTAGGATAAATGTTTGTGAAAGTGTACATTTGTGCCATTTTTGCCAATTTGCCAAAATAACTTGCAAATTGATATACATTGTAATGAAGCAAATTTATGACAAAAAGTACAAAACTAAATTGTTTTAAATGGGACACAAATATTGTTTTTTGTGGTTTTCTTCTCATGATGCCCATGATCTGTTTCTCAATTTTTATTGTTTCACGCTTTTAAACCACCTAGAGTTGTTTGGAGCTGGGCAGCCTTTAAAGTAATTAACTTAATTAAACAGGGAAACTTACTGACTGCTGTACTTTAAAGTAAATCTATTTTACTACTGTTCTCCACATTAGAACAGTAAGGATAGCACCACTTGCTAGTCATAGTTTTCAAGGACAGGATAGGAAATTGGGAGTGATCAGAGCATAGTTATATTAGTTTACTTTTCTGCCAGCTCACAGATAAAAAAATAACACCATGCCATATATATATGGCATTCAGCTTTGTTCGGGTATTTTCCCACGTCATTGTAGTTGTGCTTTTAAAGTTGTAGCAATGTTTCGGCAGAATCTCATCTGCCATCATCAATTCTGCCGAAACGAAAAGCACAACTACAATGACGTGGGAAAATACCCGAACAAAACTGAA